ATATATAATTCACACATTTTCAAGATGCTGCACATACCACTTTACCGTACTATTCACAGCCGAATTGTATGTGACTCTCCGCCATTTTTTTTGTAATATTTCTCATTTTGCATTTGGCTCTTGCGTTAGTGTTGTTCCCTCGTTCTAGGTCCTTGGCATAGGTTAGACTGATTGGTTGCGTGCATCTGAGACTGTGATGGTCAGCTGAACATGTTTTACTGTGATAATAACTGTAAGATGCAACGGATCTTTTCAGTCTAACTGACGTGATGTTGAGCTGCTTCTCTGTGGACCAAACTCTTCATTGTTTGATACAATTGCTGTGATCCGGAAGGAGTTTGCTTTTATGGGGTCAAGTGGGGGCAACTGTTCTGCCCTGTCATCAAACATCAGTAGTCCAACCTTACGCAGCTCTTTTTTCTCAATTCCCAGGCTTCAATGGCCTCTCACGTACATGCTTATGTCTTTCCTTTTTCCCTTGTTCGATCACCGCGCAATTCTTGAAGGGACCTGCTGGTTTCAGGATTTGGATTCAATCAGTGACCGATCCAGAAATTTTTAATTTGTGGAGGCATCCTATATTTACATTTATAAAGATACACTTGTAATAAAAAAAAAAAAATACATCATAATATATTACAAAATAATTGAATATACATAACAAGTTTTCCCTTTAAGATTTTTTTTAGATAATTTTTTTCTATGAGGTTTCATATTTTAATAATGTTAAATAATTTTTTCATTTTTAACACTATCAAAAATTTCTTTTTCTATATAAGTAACCAAACAATTATTCAGCAGTTTATCTCCCATGTGGTTGCACTTCTAATTTTTGATAATACTCATAGCAGAAAAAGCCCTTTCAACTGTTATAGTTGCCATTTATAATATCAAAGCTAAATCCACAAGTAAATACACCAATGAATATACAATATGCTTCTTAGATTCCACAAGTTTTATAGAAAGATTAATAATTCCTCCTAATTCTGAAAACACACTATTGGAGGGTACATCTTTGAAATAATTTTGAAGTTGATTATTTAATGCCAAAAGTTGTATAGGTGAAAATTCAGCAGAATAAAATTGAGCCAAACGAATTAACTTCTCCTTATGAAATGATGAAAATAAATCTTTTGGATTTAAGCATGCTATACGAAGAAGCAATTCAGTATTTACTTCTGTAAAACGATTGTTCAACTCTTGAAATTGCTAATCAATGACTTGATAAAATAATTCAACTTGAAAGTGATGTAAATTAGAAACTTTCTCCATTCTACGCCTTGATCTTCCTTGTATTTGAAAGACACCATTCATGTCTGAAATGATAACATCATATTTTCCACAAAATAATGAAACTTCATTGAATAAAGAATGCCAACTATCATCCCTCATGACTTGCAATCTTTGTTTTGACACTGCAACCAACTTCATAGCATTTACAATGTCTTGATCTCTTCTTTGTAATGCTTGAGACAACTCATAAGTAATTCCCAAAATATTTTTCATCAAGTGCAATATGAAAACAAATTCAAATGATTGCATGGAATTTAGCAAAGCACATGCTTCAGCCCTTTGATTTAAACTTATGCCATCTTCTTCAACAATTTCAAGCACATCAATCATAGAGGAGAACAAGGAAATTAGACTAAGCAATGTACCATAATGCAAACCCCATCTAGTATCACCTGCCCTCTTGATTGTTGTTTCTTGATTCAAGCCACGTCCACTTGAGATTTCTTACCTTTGCAAAGCTTTTAATCTTATCAATTTTTTTTTCATGAAGAATATCTCGTCTCTTACAAGAAGCTCCAACAACAGTAGACATATTATTAACTATGCTAAAAAATGATGCTATTTCAACATGCTTTTTCGCTATTGTAATAAGAGCTAATTGGAGTTGATGGGCAAAGTAATGAATATAAAATGCAGTATTATTCTCTTTCAATATCAAACTTTTAAGACCATTAAATTCACCTTGCATGTTGCTTGCTCCATTATATCCTTGTCCACGTAATCTTGACAAACTTAGCCCATAGTCTGTAAATAATGACTCCAAAGTTGATTTTAATGACAAAGCATTAGTATTAGAAATTCGAACAAGACCGAGGAAGCACTTCATAACTTTTCCTTGCTTGTTAACATAACGCAAAGTCGTGGCCATTTGTTCCTTGGCAGAGACATCTCGAGATTCATCAATCAAAATTATAAATAACTTATCTCCCAGATCATCAATTATAACTTTAGTAGCTTCACTAGCAGCAGCTCTAATAACATCAGCTTATATTGTAGGAGCTATTAATTTGATATTTCCACGACCCTTCTTCAAAACTTTGTGAATAGTCTTATCATGATTAGCAAGAAAATCTCAAAGCTCAAGAAAGTTTCCTTGATTATTGGAAGACAATGACTCATCATTACCCTGAAAAGCTAACCCTTAACGTAACAAAAAAATTGAATACAATCAATTATTGCAGTCAAATGAATCTGATAGTCCTCTTTCATTTAATTAGATTGCCTACTTATAGCAATATCAATATGTTGCTTTTGTTTCATTAGAACTTCACAATTTCTCCAAACTTGTTATGAAAACTATTTGGACCTCCAACATGAACTTGAAACCTATCAAGTTTTTTTTCAATTTATGAATCCTTCTGTTATAAATGCTTCACCATTACCTTTGTATTGTCCAACATCTAATGTCATAAGATAACAACATAAGTAATAAGCAGCATCTTCCTTTTGACTATATTTTAACCAATTGCCATATTTTGAATACCAATCTAGATTAAATCTACGAAAGGTATTCCCAAATTGTCTTTGGAAAAAACTAATCTCTTTTGGTTGACAAGGATCCTTTTGTAAATAATATCTTCTAATTTCATCTCTATCATTTGGATGATAGCAAGACATTTTTGGTCTCAATCCAAGATCATTAGGAAGCTTTTTAAATCAAATTCCAAAAATTTTGGATCAAATGTTCTATCTCTACATTACCATGAGCTTGAAAGATTGTTATTCTGATGATGTTGCTTTTCTTTTAAAAAAATTTTCCATTATAAGAAGCCTAAAAAATTCAAATTTCAATTTAAATTATTATAATGATAGTATGACATAAACAAATCAATATAAAATAGAAAAATAAAATAAAAATATGCGGAGTGTTGTTCATAATTGTGCTCTCACTATTTAGCATAAATTATTCAAAGCATTATTATCCCTCTCATTTGACCATTTCAGCATTTCAATAGAGTATTAATTATAAACTAATAAATACAAAGTTGGTGGTCCCAAAAGATGGCCTTCCTTGTGTTCTTGTGCAACTACATGGCCATCTAAAGCAAAAAGCCAAGAATCACATACTCACATATCTATTTTTTATTCTTTTATTCTCTTCCACTTTTAATAATTTATTCATTCTGAAATTCTCAGTAAAGCGCGATGATCATTCTTAAAATCAAAACCAAATCAAGCTTGGGTATAAAGTACTCTACCAGTTCCAGAGCACCAAATGCAGAACCAGAGAGAGGCAGACAGGTAGTCTCGGTTGTTCAGCAGAGACCCAGTCGCCCGCGGAGGCTCAGGCAGGGGCAGCGAAGATCAAGTTGTAGAGCAGAACAGCAAGAGTCAAATGCAGGATGAAAAGTGAGTCTGCGTTTTGGGATTTTAGGGATTTTTTTTTTTTGTTGTTTCTGAAGCAGTAAAGCTTATGAGGGAAGATGAAATGGGTGTGAAAAATAAGTTTTAATTAAAAAATTAAGAGTATAAAAATAATAAAAAAGTTGAAGGTATAAGAGTAATATTATTAATCATTGGGGGCAATTAATACCTATTAAATAGGGGCTTAAAATACGTATGCTTCTTATATTTTTTTTTTTAAAATATTTTTTTAGTGGGGGCAACTGCCCCCTCTTTCATCCATGTAGATCTCTTCTTAGATTTAATGAGTGTTATTAATATAAGTATTGAGTGTTTATACGATCTAAATTTTTAAAATTCAGATCAATAGCTATAAATTTATAATAAACAAATGAGTTTATTTAAATTATTGATTTAAATTTTAACAATTTAAATGGTACAGGCATTCAATGTCTATATTAAACATAATTACTGGATTTAAATTTCTAATTTCGTTAATCGAAGTAAGGTGCACGAATGTTTTTGTCCCAAAAGTAAAAGAGTCGTTTTCCTGTGAATCCGTTATATTAAAAGTGTGCACTTCATTTTTCCGTGCCTTTCCGATTTAAACTCATCAAGGAGCCCGACTACTGACTGTAACGAAATCTTTAGTAAATATAGCTGATGGAAACAGACACCCAAACCAATTTACCAATTCATTCATCGATGCTCTTTCATGAAGCAGGCGAAAGAGTGGAAAGTTTTGTTCCGGCGGAATTCTTTGGGCAGTTCCATAGTGCTTTAGACAGACGAATCAGAAATTATTGTATGAGAGCCATAACTGAAATTTTCTTTAAAAGTAAGGGCCTAAAAGTGATTTCAGTATTTTTCGTAAACAAAACTCACCCCTTTATGAAGAAAATTTTGAAACATGGGGGGCTACAGCCCCTGCACACCCCCCTTGAATTCATCACTGCTTCAGAGGGTTGGCTCTGTCATGGTTTTGAAAGCTGTTTTACTTATAGGCCTCATTGCAGAAAGTGGATGCTCGTTCTCAGCAAGCCCGTTTTGGATTTTGATGGACACCCGTTAAATGTGGTCAAATTATTTTTTTCTCCTCAGTTTAATAAATAACCGAACATCTATTACAATTGAGTTTAAAATGTCACATACAACAGAATTGACATTGCAACAAACACAAATAAATAGGCTTTTCAATTGGCTTATCTTAATGGAATTCCACTTAAAAATCTTTTTAAATGTGACAATTATGGGTCACCCTTTAGCAACGGGAAGATAAAATTTATATCGTGGTAGTTCTAACTATAAAGTTTTGAATTGCCTCTTTTATCTGGGCACCAGGCAAAGTTAAGGCGCCACACACATTTTCAATCAACATATATTTATATATATCGGTAATTTTTCAAAATAAAACTTCCTGACAAAAACCTTACAAAAATAAATATACATGCAACCCTCAACCATATACTCTCAAATTCTAAGCTATCTAAGAACTCAAATAGTTCGATGCAGGGTATAAACCTATACTAAATCAAATCCTGTTTCTTTACATTATTACCAGGGAGGATCCCTTATTTCCCAGCCATGATCGGCTGTGCTGGGAGAGATTGTGAAATCCAGTGACAGTATTATGTATCCCATGCATCTCCCTTTAGGTGACAAAGTCTGGCAACAATTGTGCAGCAAACCTCTTTGGGTTCTGCATGTTCATGTTCTCATACACAGTTGATGAGTGAGTAGTGGAAGGATTTATGGCTCCATACTCGTTTGATTCAGCCATATCCAGTCTTCTTCCCAGTTGAATGTTCTGGTTTGGGAGAAAACTTTGATGGCTACTTGACAATGTGTCACAGTGGGGAAGACCAAGAGTCAGGGAAACCCCGTTACCTGAAAACCTTGGTGTAAACTGCTCTGCGTCAAACCTTCCAATCTCCCCAATTGGGTATTGTCCAAAACCTCCGATAAAGTTTGCTTGGGTTCCCATGAAAGAGAATCCATCTTTTCCCTGCCTTTCGTCTCCAAAATTTATAGAAAGCTGCTCATTATTGGCCTCATTTGTCTTCATGTCCATGTTTATTGAAGTTGGGAAGTGCGGAAGTTCTTGGTTTCTTGGTTTCTTGGGACTTCTCTGTGTGATCCCTTCCAGCTCTGATGATCCCATGAAGCTGAAACCAAACTGGTCTCTCATATTATCCTTACCCGGCGATAATATTAATGGTTTAGAAACTGAAACTGTGGGAGTTTTCTGGTTTGAAGGCCTGTCTTGGTTGGAATTGAGGCTTCTAGCGTCCGTTTCAGCGGCAGGGCCTTTTTGTTGTGGAGCTGCAGGATCTTCACCGCTCTTGCCTGATTTGTCTTCAGATTCATTCTGTTCTTGCTCCTTCATCTCCTCCGTGTACATTTCTTCCACCATTGGTTTCCAGAGCCGAACTCGAGCATTAATGAACCAATTTGAAACCTGTGACAATCCGAGCCACGTTAAGTCACTTGATCAATTCCACAATCAAGAGAAACAACGGTCCTTCATTAGAGCAAAAAGTGGTTGATGCGTACCTGGCTCCTGGTGAGGCCTGTTTGTTTAGCGAGCATATGCTTATCTGAATCCTTGGGATAACTGGAACGAGACATGATATTTGGTCTCAGCATAAAATTGAGAAAAGCCAGAATCTGCGAAGTTCCATGTAAAAAAAGTTAATGGGGGTGCTTACGGATGGAGGAAGTGCTCAAAGAGCCAAGCACGAAGGACAGAAACAGATCTTTCAGGCAATCCTCTCTGGGGTCTCCAAGCATTTTGCTGGATCATTCCCAACTGTTGGAGAGCTCGCTGTTGGCGCAGGTGATGGTCAACGAACTTGAGTCTCGAACCTTCAATCTTGGTTCCAAAGCAATCTTCTTCTCCTAAGCTCTTATTAGCAGCTCGAATTTGGGCTGTTATGGCATCTTTCAAGCACCTAAACTGCTTGGAGATTGTTTGTAGCGCAAGGGCCGTGTATGTTCTGGCCGAACCAATTCCCGCAGCTTGCTCGAATGACGAAATCACAATCTGCATCTGCTGGTGGTACTGCCTGTACCTCTGCTCCACCTACACCAAAACCCCGCTATTAATTAATTTTCCAAATCAATCTTGAAACTTGAACGTCGGTTTGCTATTCCCTCCCCATTAATCATTATTATAATTCGTTCATTATTAAACTGCGTGATCACTCTTAGACTCAAAGTTATAACTATAGTTACTGTTTTTTTAAGGCTGAAAAATTAGTGAAATTGAAGCTCCATTAATTTAATAAATCTATATCTGAAAGTAAGGTTCTTCCAACCTCCAAAAAAATGGTCCAACTTATGGAACTCGTACTCCTCCTTTTCTTTTTACCTCAGATTGAGCACATCAACCAGAAAACAGATTGAAGAGTACCTCGTCAAGCATGTTGATCAGCTTAGCCTTCTTCATCTGAATTTCTTGTCTCTCCGCAGCCGAAAGCTCGGTGGCACGCTTAAGGGTTCCTTCTCCACCAGCAGAACCGTCGCCAGTGGCGGCTGTCCCGGATGTCTCCCCGGTGGTCTTAGTTTGGGCCCCACCGCCTTTCTTTCCCAGTTCGGTCTTAATGCCGTTGTTGACATTGACGGCCTCGTCGAGAAGCTCCTGTGCTGCTTTCAAGTACTTGGAGCTCAGAATCGCACCCTGAATCCCCGAAAAACCGTTCGCGTTGGTCACCCCAGAATCCGAAGACGACGACCCTCCAGACCCGCGAACATCTTCCCCAGACATAGCAGGCGCTTGACCCCGTGATGTTGCTTCACGATCGACACGAAAAGACCCCATTCCAGCTTGCTGGGAGGACAGGCTCAGCGACAGTCCCTGCTGTGCACGTGGAGTCTCACGCGCCGTCGCGTTTGGGTAGATTGGGTTCCAGAGATTGCACTGCATGCGAGGCACAAATCCATGCAAGGTGGAGCCATCTTGATGAGCATGCACGGAGTGTTGCTGGCTAGGGTCCTGGGAGGAGGAGGCGGCGGCGGCGGCGGCGGCCGGCAGAGGGATACCAACGAATTGTTGGGTGTGATTGGGTGACACGTGGTGGAGGTTTTGGGGAGTGAGCGAGTTGTTGCCAGCTGCGATGGAGTTGAGGAAGACCAAGTTGCTGGGGTGCGGCGGGGGAGGCGTCGGGGTGTCGGAGTAGTGGATGTAGCCGGGGTTCATGAGAACCAGAGTTTGGAGGCCATCGGGTGGTTGGATTTCAGAATTACCAAGAAAGTACGTCGCCATCGATTTTGGGTGAGAGACTAATTCTTTTGGTGGTGACTTCACTGAAAAGAGACTACGTTAGTTAGGTCAGGCTTTCAAACCTCACATCCAAAACACACCAAATTACCAATAGCCAGACATGAAACGCACACAATTAATAAAAAAATGAAAGCAAAAGTTCACAAACTCATGACCTTCCTCTATATTTTCAATGGAGAGACGAACACGAGCAGATATACAAGACTGATATATAATATGCACTATACCTTCGACTTCGAGAGAATCTGAGTAGTTGTAGATCAACCCATCAAAGAGCTAGCCGTGGAGAATCGATACTTAATTCTCGGTTACCTTCTCAAAAGAATCCTGCAGGGAAAATCATAGAGAAGAAGATATAATGAATCAGCTAGGTACACCAGGATCGAAATTTTGTTTTCCGTAAAACCGGCCACCAGCCTCTCTCTTGGCATTCAAAATTACTGGATTTTCTTTCAGCCAGCTTTATAAAGAGTTATAAAAGCCTTTTCACCCAAAAAAAAAAAAAAAACAAAGAAAGAAAGCTTTGCTTTCGTTTTGTGTATGGTTTTATACATAACTGCGTAGAAGCGTCCATGAGCTCGAACGAGAAAACGAAGAAACTGGAAGAGGAGGAAGAGGGAGTGCAGGTACCAAATTGGGTGGGTTTTATGAGGGGGAAAAATGGAGGACAGAGAAAGCAGATGGTATAGGGATTGACACCGACTAAGAAAAAGGGAGAGGAATTGATTATTTATATGAATAAATTATGATGGGAGTGTACAGGAGTATCTGGTGTGTGATGAAAATTAGAGTGCACACGTGCTTCATGATCGTCTCCGAACTGCAAAGCAAAAGGAAAGCAAGATTTCAATTGCAATGACCCTAAACCTATGAGGAATGGATTTTGAGATATATAGATATGAGAGGAGAGTGACAGTCACACACGCACAGGACGCCGACTTACCCACCAAAGTATTACAGTTATGTATATAGCTAACAAACAGCAAGAGAAAGGATTCATCAGAGGCGTGGAAGGGGGGGGGGGTGGGATGCAGCAACCTTAGCCTGTGCACATGTATGTGTACCCTGAGATCTATCTATGTTTGGGATTTTATGAATCTCCTGGCTCACAAAGGGGAAAACTGTGTGTGTCAGAGTCGAGTCTCTCTGCAACTCCACCTCCACTCAAAAGGGGAAAAAAGGAGTTACGAGAGAGGTGAGATTAAAAAGACATGTCAAAAAGATAGCCGTCTTTATTCAGGGCCTCATTATCCACACATTTATGGCCATTTTCATGGGATAAAGAAAACAAACACTGTATATTTTTTATATTTCAGCATACAAAGGGGAAATTCTGGGCAAGGGAAATTAAGAAGGGGTCTGGAGTGAAGACTGAAGTGTGCACGGACATGTGTTCATTCCTTATCTTTCCGTGGCTTTTTGAGAAGTACCTGGGAAAGGGTCGATACACGGCAACTTCTTTCGATTTGACCCTCTCTCTTTTCAAATCACTCGAGCCTTTGATGAGCATCCACGAACTTTTTCAAGAAAAGAAGGGGGGGGGGGGAAGAGAGTCTTGGGTCGATGCTGAGAAGCGTGTATCGGGGAAAATGAGAGAGAGAGAGAGAAGGCGAACAAGTTATGTCAGAAGGTACGAACAGCTGAGGAACGAGGAAACGTCAAAAGCTTAATTATTTTTTTTTTTGAAGAGAAAAATAAGAGAGAAGAAAAGAGGACGACGATGGGGGAGCAGGGGCAGAGGGGTGGAGCCATCTCATTGCTCATTTCTCCATTAAATATCTGGTTGTCGTTTTCACAATTTTCATGTTTTTCTTTTCAATTTATCCAAGGATTTTTTGTGGTTGGATGCCTGAGTTTCAAGATAAAGCAATTAAATTACTAAGAAACCAACCACCATAGCACCAACTTTAATGCTTTCAAAAGCTGAAAATAAAATTAATTTTCGGTAGCATTTGGCAAAGAAATATCTCCTCATCTTTCCCCACGGCAGTCTAATTTTATATTTATTTTGAAAAAAAAAATAGCATATCGATAGGGTAATTGGAAAAAGCCAAGGTAATTGAGAGAAAAGCAGAGGGGGTCCCAATCAAAGTGCATATATGATGTGTCCGTGAATGATAAGGCCTTCAACAAGTGGTCCCACCTTGGCTCTCATGCATCAGACCGACTGACGGCATCGCCAGCTAGGCCCTAATTATAATCGCAATAAAGGATTAAATCACCTATTAAGCCCATAATTTAATTAATTACACTCCTTATCTTTTGGACATGTATACGTATATCTTCAAAATTTTTCATTCTTTGGCCAAAAACCACCCGCTGATTTCAAGATTATTTTGTCAACATTTTCGTCAACAATCTTTGATGACACCCAAAGGATCACTTTTCATGCGGGACATTCAAATGGAATAACTGCAGAGCAGTTCTGCAATTTGTTTTCTTATATATATATATATAAGGACAACTTTAGAAGGATACGAAAGACCGAATAAATAATTGATAATTAACCTTTCCCATGCGAGTGAGGTAATGCCATCATTCATTCATTTGCATGGAAAGACAACTAATGGCAATTAATTATAAATATCCTGAACATACAACTAACGTACGCCCAATTTTCTACATCTCCGGCTTTAAAACTTCTCCGTCCCCATCAACAGAACCATTAATTATCAGAATGGCCATGGACAAATTTTAAGATCTACGATTAGCCTTTATCCTAACTAGCTACAAAATCTGTCTAGTTTTAGTTTTTTTTTTAAAGGATAAATATCGATTGAAATTACGAAAGGAAACAATTAAAAAGTTGAATTAATTGCATTTTAGGCGTAACTAGTCGACTTAAATTCCATCCATACACGACGGTCTTGATTACATATTTTATACATGTGTCTAGCTGGATATTATATAATAATAACCAAGCATATGTAGTCTACTTTAGACTGACATAGATGTGCACCCGTGCGTGTGATGGGATATCATATCGATTAATTGCCTGTTAAAAGGAGCAATGAAATAGTGAATTGCAAAGCTTATTGAATGAGATAAGTTGTGTGAGTGATAGAAACAATTAAGAAGTCTTGGCCAAAATTTGACTGTGGTTTAGTTAGGTTAATTGCTGTGATTTTACTGCAATATTAAATTAAAAAGGCAAATGATCAACTACCTAAAAGAAAGCATAGCTAACTGTCATTTTAATTAGGAGAGTCTCCGAATTGAATAGAAACTTGCGTTGGTGGCGTTGAATAGCACTAGGATATGTTGTTTGTGGAGAAAGCAAATCACGCAGTACTAGTTTATTCACCATAAAGGGACAGGTTTCAATGAATGCGTCCTTTTTGGTAATCAGGCTGTCCCTCTCGCATAGACCAATGCCAATAGTATTTATCTCTTCCTTGTCTTGGATTCTTTCAAAGAAACCTCATTGGTGCTTTTTGTTCACACTTGATTGGCCATTAATGGCCTGTTTTTTTCACATCCAGTAAAAAGCACATTGGATCTCCCTCGGACACTTGTAAGAATGACGGAAAAAAGGACGTCATTACTTACTTATGATTATTCATATGTGTGCATGTCAGAAGTATTCCTGCTGGTTGCTTCAATATGTGTACTTTGACTAAAGGAATCATCCGTTGTTGCGTGCCATTATCCTTCCTTTTCCTTCCTTTTTCACTCTCAAACCCAAAAAGCGTGGCTTATTTTATTTTATTGTGACCTACTGATGTAAACATCAGAAAAGGTCTATTAATACGTATGTATATGGTCTATTTCTCAAGGTTACTGAATAATTTGGATAACTAGTCATAGCAAATTATTAACGGTGCCCTGCCGATACTTTAAATAATTATCAAGGGTGCCCATAATGATATATGTGAATGTGCATACCTATCTATCTGTAGTTCTCTATATGTGAATACATGATGATCTTATAAAGGCCGGTTAATTTTATCACATTTAGCAGCGACTAGCTTTATGTCTTGCAGGACGCTTGTCCCCTGAAATGAGTCATGATTTGAAGAACATTGGGAAAAGTAACAATAGAGCTATTATGGGATACCAGAATGATCAAAGGGCAAGGGTAACCATAATGACAGTGACACAGAATTCAATTATCTTGGATGTTTCCCACTGATTATTGAAATTATATATATAATAGTTGAACAATCAAGAAGTTAGAACAAAATGTAGAGATGTTAAGGCATGATAAGGTCATTGAATATAAAATCACCCATATTTTAATTATTGCAATATGAAATAGGTCAGTAAAACATGTACAAGGCCGTACTATCCAGAAGTGGCTCACATCACATCATAGTAATAACCCCAAATGGTCTGTGGCACCTTGTGGTACTACTTCACTATGCGTCCATCTATGTGGGAGACTATATATATATATATAAAAATATTGTATGTAAAAGGGGGATTTGGTGGTGAGTGGGAATGGACCCTTATGCGAGTGACCCTATCTATTTCTATATTATTATCATGGGAATCCATCGCTTGTTTACTAACAATCATCTCACGAAGAAAATGACTCGAAAACAACATAACACTAACAATTCCTGCCTAAACCTGCGTGTAGTTAGTAAGTGTCAGAAAAAGGACAGGAAAAGGATCGCATCGGTCGAAGTGGATGAGGAAAAATGGATATTCTTACGAACCAATCATAAGAACCAAAAACCAGCTGGCCAACTGGCTGCTACTCTCGTTTATTCTGGCAGTCCCCTAGCCTCAAAATCATTCAAGCTAAACAAACCCGTGAAATATGAACACAATCTTCTTGATTAGTCTTATAAATCATCTTTCTCTTTAATTAATTTCTCTGAATGCACTGGACTTCAAAAGTTACGAGCAGAGATACAATATTCTGAGTGACAAGAGGGACAAAAAAGACAAGCACCACTTTGGAGTAATCATTCTGAGTGGTAGTTGATGGATTGTGATCGATGGAAAAATAAAAAAAAATAAAAAAAATGAGCAGCAAATAGTGTGATTGGAAGATTGACGATGAAGGATTTTTTGGGGTGTTTGGGGGAGGGGTGTTAAGTGTCAAGTGCTTTTTCAAAGAGTAGTGGTCTAGTGGACCACCTCAAGTTTTATTTATTAACAATCAAAGAGGTTGTTTGGGTAATCGATCTCTGCTATGCGATTCTCGTTCGTTTGATGCATACCCATTTTGAAAAAACGACCCCTTATTATATATAGCCATAAAAGCAATGGGGCCACCGTTTATACAGACTAATACTCCAACTGTAGCCACCACCGTGTCAAGCCCCCACATATATACACATTTGCCAATCTACATACCACCACGCATAACGGCACAACAAATAAACACATTATGTTTTCATCCTCTTCTTTATTGTTTTGGAATTTCTTAGGTTCGTCTTCTGTCTTTTAATGAAGAAGCCAGCTTTCACAAGTCCCAATTAACCTCCGCTGCTTTGCATCTACTTGGATCTCTATGTAACTTGAATGATGAAAACCATGTCAGGTTCGTTGAATGAAACCTCTGCATTAATTCTTGTTCGCTTTTTTTGCTCTGTACTACTCTAGTGTACGTGTCCATGCACAAATCCAACGGCTTAGAAGTACGTGAAAAATATGTAATCAGTGAGACTTTCTCATATCATGTAAGAATTAACTAGATCCAGTGTTCAAATATTTACTACAGTGTGAATGGTTATTTATATTTGCTTTGTTCTCTAGGGATGTCACTGTGAAGCTCGATTACTCTATAGATTATGTGACTCTGAAATTTAAATGGTCGAGTAAGTACTGGTGTACATGTCAATCGCTGGTGGAGAGAAGTTGGAGAAGACAAGCATGGGACCGGTTTTCGGTTTATGTTGCGGTTCAAGGAGGGCTTGCACGTGATATTATTTTATTGGACTGCCCCATAGATATGACCCCCACCTTACTTTCAATGTGTTGACTCCATATAGCAAGTGTCGATCGCTTCCGCCAAAATACTGTTGTTACCCACGGGCATGACACAATACAATATGGTCTGGTTACTTTGTTTGGGAATAAAATAAATACAGCTCTCATTCATGCCACCTCTTTCCTAGCTTTTTCATCACTTTTGTTCCTTTTTCCTTGTTTCCTTTCCAAATTTTCTCCCCTCATAATTCGCACGCACACACTTCCTCTCACTTTTAAAAAAGCCGGATAGAAATGAAGGAGGTACGAAAGCATTTTTCCATCTCAATTCAACGTCTTTTGACACTAGTCTCTATGTGACAGTGCCCTGTCCAACCTTGTTATATGATGCTGAGAGTCCCTTGATTTATATTTCGTGAGGCAAAGTTTGTTTGGAAAAGAACTAAGCAAAATTTTCATTGTTAGAAAGAATGATGAGAATGGATAGTAAAACAAAATTTATACTAAATACGTATATTAATATTTTTAAAAGAAAATGTAATTCTAAATATTAATTAAATTATTATATAAATAAATTAGATGAAAAGTTTAAAAATATATATTAATGTCATTTGTATCATAAATTTATTTTTATAATAAATATAAGAGTAAACACTATTTTTAAATATATATGTTTGGAAATTTTAATGAGAGTGGGGCAGCAGTTAATTTTTTTTATGGGGCAATTGTAATTTTAAAGGGGGCAAATCTAACTTTAACTGAAACTTGGGTAAAATTTTTGCTTTTTCAATGGGTGCAATTGCCCCTCTTTATCTAATGTGGGTACATCCTGGGAATAGAATGAATGAAAGA